CCTAGATAAACGGATATGTCCAATTACCGAACCGTTATGGCTTCGATATAGAATCTTAAAATAATTCACATTAAAAAATTCTCATTTTTTTATATCATATGTTTTCTTACACGCCTCACAAAATAAAATGAATAATATCATTTAAATTCTTATAAGATTAACGTGTTGCGTCTTTTTACTAGAAAAACTATTTCTACTATTGCTACATAGTTTATTTGATAATTTACTGCTAAAAGTGTTAAATTTAAAGTACTGCAGATATTATTAATGTTGTCTCGCACGACTTTTATTAAAGAATAATATACTAACATTTATTGTCAAGTTTCCTTAGAAATTTATGATGTTATCTTTTTAATTTTTAATTTATATATATCCATGATCATAAATATCTGTTATTTTATGTTCATTTACTTCGTAACAGATAGATTTAAACATTTTTTTGATAAATGAAAAAAATTAAACTTCATACTTACATTTCTCTGTAAATATTTATTTAAAAATATATTACAAATAATATAATAATATAAGCATTGTACATAATTAACGTTACTACTATAAATAAAATAAATATAGATGATTCATGTATATTCACTTATGATAAAAACATTCGATATCGAATACACTTATGATAATTTAAACAATTTTAAACGATAATTTTAACAATTAAGTCAAATCCAAAATATAACTAACAACATTGCAATCACTAAAATAATGCTGTATTTTACTTTTATTGATATGTTACAAGGTTTCTTTCCTTTTCTAGGTTCACAAGCACACATTTCTAGTACGTAACCGTCAACCTAGAAAAATATTCACAATATATAAGATTTATAAAAATGTAACTTTTAAGAACAAAAATTAATGATATATAAAATTAAGTAGTGAATACAGAAATTGAAGAATTTGCTACAAAAAAGACTTTTTAATAATTAAAAATCAAATAATTTTTCTAACATATAAATTAAATGCGTTCAATGTCAAAATTTGCAACGCTAAATTTTTGCACTTTTGTGTACAAAATCTTTAATTTTCTTTGTCTTCTATTAAATGCATTAAGTTATTAATTTTAAATAATTGTAAATAGTTACATGTTGTTCATAACATCCTGATGTAATAGGTATTATTTTATCTTCTATTGCTTTCCCGCAAAACAGTGATGTATTAACAACTGCAATTATTTTTAAGTTTACAATATTCATTTTATATTTTTTAGTATGAATTTGTATAATGTGATATACTTACTGTCATTATTATAACTAAAAGTATATTTTATACAAACATCACCAGTTGCAGCAGAACAAAAGTACCTGTTTGAATTCCAATATTCTTCATAATCAACTGGACTTGGTGGTTCGTCTAAAATGCAGACAGCAATAACTTTGAATATATTATAAAAATATAAAGATTACAATAAATGTCACAATTATTATAATTTTTCTATTTAAGTATAAGTAAAAATACATGAATATATTATTATATAGAAGACAATTACAAAAGCAAGCAACTTTTACCTGTAGGAAGAAAAGGTTCAATACAAGGAGCATTTTTGACTGTAGAACAATTTTTATGCCTTAACACTGGTGCTACCCAAGTGAAATTAAAACATCTAAATGCTTCATCTGCTTTAACTACAAAATAAATGATAAATGTAATTTTATTATTTTTTATATTTGCAAAATTTTAATGTTAAATGTAATTACTCAGTACTAAAGATCCTCCACAGATAATTAAAAATACACATAAATTAATTTCCATCATTTTGGTTCATTTAACATTTTACTCTGACCACTTCATTCTACTGATCATTTCAGTACTTTATAAAACTTATCTGATAAAGATAGTTGTTATCATGGTGATATGTTATATATCTGATATTACTCCTATTGTCCAACATCCATCCTATTAAACTAGATATAAAATTATTTGTATTTGTATATAAAGAGCATTAGACACACATTAATCACAAACATTAGATATATATACAATGTACAAAGTATATTTTATTCAGTGAAATAATATTTGTAATTTATTACAATGACTAATATATATATATATATATATATATATATATATATATATATATATATATTTACACTTCGAAGAATCTAATGACTTTTAGTTTACAATGTTATAAAAAACAGAATAAGTAAAAATTAGCCGTTATAAAAAAATTTTTATTCTAATAGTAGAAATAAATATTTATAATAAATGCTTCATACATTTCTTGATGTTCCTTGTTGCCTTTCATTCGTTTATAAGAGTATTATTTAAAAATTGTACATGAAATTTTATTAAAATTCATCATGTCTGCCTAATGCTTCACCAAAATCAGTTGCTTGAGAACCAACAAAAATATCATATTTTTCCAAGATTTCATCTTTAGTAAGTTTTTGGTCTGCATCTGTATCTGCTTCAAATATGAGATGTCGAGATTCTGCTTCTGCATGATCAAAATCAACTGGGACAATCCAAGTTCTGACCTAAATTAAAATATTTGATTAATTGAAATTTATTATTCTAATATTTCATGTAAAAATATATATCACCTCTTCGAAGTCTAGAAAACCGTCACCATCTTTATCTCGATACATAGAAAATTGTTCCTTTTCATTTTTTATCCATTCTGGTTCTTCTTCACCTTCTACACCATCATACATATCACCTACAGGACAAACATATAAATTTTTTTTATTGTTTGTACAAATTAAGCAAGAAAAAAAAGTGAAATATATACCAATAAATTCTAAAAGAGATATTTTGCCATCTCCATCTTTATCAATATCTTCTATAGCTTCTAATACTATAATATCCTTCATATGATCTGCCTCTTCTGCATGAAGGAAAACAGCAAATTCTTCTTTTGTAAGTGCATCATCACCATCTAAATCTGCAGCTTGCCAACGTCTACGTTCTCTTTTAAGCATAGCAACATATGAGAAAGTATTATCTTTAGATTTTTCATAGTTTTCTGCTTCCTGTTCATCCATATCTCCAAAAACCAGTGCTGAGTATTTTGCCCATGGAAGTTTCTCTTTCTCCTCTGGATTATGAGATTTCCATTGGCGTTCAACATCATCTCGTATATAACGTTTTTGTGTATATAATATCCAGTCTTTTAACTCTTCTCCAGTAACATAACCATCTTTATCTTTATCTATTTTGTCAACTATCATTCCTAATTTCCTTGTACTTTCTTCAGGAGTAAGCTGATCAAAAGTTTTTGCTTCTTCACCTAAGAAAGCTTCATGGTCATAGGCAGAATTATGTTGAGAATTGATATAATGTTCTTCATTACTTGGTTCCTGAAATAAATCTTAAGAATTAAAAATATATATTTAATAATAATAAATGTTATTTATTTGAAAAATGAAAAAGGACATAATATGGAAAAAGGACATTTAAACGTATTCCACAAGGTTATGTATCAAATATATAGATAATAAATTTGTTTATCGTTGCGAAA